ATGTTTTTATAAACCATTAGGCTTGCATGCATTTCATATTTCATGAATTGAGCATATTTTATATTATGTTTTACAAATTTCTATATTTATGGTTTACGATTTATTTAAATTGTTTTTACGAAATATTTATGGTTTATCTATTTATAGTTTATAAAATGGCATGTTTATAGAAATCACGTTTATGGATTTATTATGGTTTTAGATGATGAGGTTTTGGTATTCTACACTTGGTAAGAGATTTTGGCTACGTTTTTTTATGCTTATCTAGTGGGTAATCATACAACACATACACACAACCTGAGTATGTATATGTCTATGCCCATAAGACACAGATAAAAAGCAGTGAGATATTTATGACATACTCCCAACTTTACTGGCAAAACCAGTGTTGGACAGCTTCACTAGCCACTGCTAGTGTCGGTGTGTGATGTACCTTTTTCTTCTTTGGCATAACCCAGAGTCGTACAGCTTCACCTTCCAGTGATGGGACCTACCATATTTCTTCACTGGCGTAACACAGTGTTGTATAGCTTCACCCTCGGGTGATGGTTATGCCTTCGGGCGACTATGATACCCCTAGTTAAGTACACTATTTTATGATTTGATTTACGAATGATTTCATGGCATGCTAGGGTTTTTGGAAGACCTATTACATACTATGATATATGGTGTTTTCAAAACAGGGGGTTAGTATGTTCAGAAAGAAAAATGATTTTACTTATTATTATTTTTATAAACTTTGGTCCACTCGCATTTTGTTTTGGACCTCCTTCAGGACTTAGAATTGAGGCGTACGATCCCGACGTCAGGGCACTCCCGCATAGGTATCTTCGAGTCTTCTCAGTGTAGGACCCATTCCTTTGTTTGCACCTTTTTATAATAATTCTTTCACAGTATTCTTGATTAATTGTATGATCTGAACACGTTTCCTCACTTGCGTATTTCTTTATATTTACATATTTTATTATTTTTTGTATACCATTATCACTTGCATGCATGTTAAAATGGCTTCATCACCCTTGGGCGTCGGCTAGCACGTGCCCAATCCTGGTATTTGGGGATATCAGGGTTTGGGTGTGTCATCTTTCTACTTTCTCTCTCTAGTTCTTGTTTTCAATACAAAGATTACATAATATATCTCCTTCGATTCATGAAGATTAACATGGTATCACTCACCTTTCTTGTTGACGGGTGATCTTCGATCCTTCTTGCTTCCACGTATGTCAAATTCGACTTCTTCGTCTTCAGATTCTTTGTTCGAGCTCAGACTTTTACCTCTATAAGTTTTTCTAGGATTTGTTAGTCAATCTTTTATCACGATCAATTCTTCTTCAACTATGTGTGATTCTTGCACATGAAGTGTTTGTATGAAGTCTGAGCTCGGACAGAGAATATATGTGCATTTTGTTCGGGAAAAGGTAGCCAAGAAATAGTTATCAATGTAGTGTGGCTCTTCAAAAGAACAATTTGCTGAAATATTGACCAAAAGCTTAAGTGGTCCTCTATTTCGAACATATTGTATCAACATGATGCTTGGTTGCTCAAAGCTGAAGTGGTCTCATGCGCCTGGGGACACGATGACGTCATTGCCACCGTCGCCGGCGAGTGTAGCTGCAGTCGCCGTTGGCCACGCTCTGGTCGTCAGATTCCAATTAAAGGTTAACGGAATATACCTGATGTTATCGGAGATTCCATCAAGTTTGACGAATGCTGCCGTTGTCGCTGTTAACGACGATGCTGTTGACATACGCCGAGTTCCGTTATTTTCTGCAGATTTTTTAGAATTTGTCCCGGGCTCGAATCAGTTCGATTCTTATCTAAACCAAATTCGCATAAAAAAAAGTCTAAGAATTTTACCCAGACATAAATTTGAAAGCCAAAAACTCGAATTATTTCTCAGACCCGCAGAGAAATGACTGCGAAAGGTCATCGGATTTTCTGGGCATAAACACAGAGTAGGGACATGGGTCACTTCCCTCAAATTTCCTTTGAAATCAACATTATTAAGCTCAGAAGGTTACCTGAACTAAAAAACAACACGGTTTGAGATAAGTTTCGATTCAAACTCAGCGATGTTAAGCCGGAATTCGTCTTCGGTTTCTTGACGCCTAGCAATATAGGTTAGACTTTCGAATTCTCACCAAATTCCAACATGCAGAGCATGGAAATTATACTTGAGATTAGGAGAAGTCGAACCCAAACTCGATTAAAAGAAATCCTGCCGAATTTTGCCCTGATTTTCGTCGACGAACTCGCTGCGCACAGAAACTCAGGTGCGTCATTTCTAGACCGCAATTCACGCATGCAGATGTATCATCATGATCCCGAAGTCACGGTGATGTTGTTTGTGGTTTTAAGGCTCAGATTTGGTTGGGTTCGAGAATGAAAGTCATGGCAGATCCAGGAAATATCATTAGGGGGTAATGCGTGCGCGGAATTTTTTTTTTTATAATAGAAATAGCATACAAATCGCCATTTTAACGAGTCTTTGTGGTCATAAAGTCATTTGCAAAAGCATATTGCCTACCAGTTAAGGCCTCATTTGCATGAGTAATTAACATGTTCCACAACTGTTCTCATATGGATGCTTAATAAAGGAACGCACTTATTTTGAACACACTAACAAATTGATTGATAACATTGCATCCCATTAATTTGTTTATCCAAAAATGATGATGCTTTGTTCATTCTTTAAGATTACCATTTCATTTACTTTGCAACTTTGGATAATCTTTTACTTTGTTCTTTTTTTCTTCTTCCTACAATTGTAATCACAACCAACAAACAAGATAGAGGTAAATAATATTAGGACTAGACTGTAAATGGGCAGCACCTCTCTAATGCTTTTTATCAAGCAGTTGGAGGGCATATATGAAGGGCAACTTCAACCTTCAAAGGGGTAGCCCTTAAGTCATCCATGAAAATTCACCGGAGTTCGAAACGTCAGCTAATCCCCCACGCCCTTAAGTTGGTCTGTCCCTAATGAAGGTGGTGAGGTTTCTCGGTGAAGGGAAGAGAGTGCAAGGAGAGAGTTCAACGGTTAATGTACAGGTTGTAACAGTTCAACATCAAAATGCCTTATAGCACATTACCTTATTACAACCCAATTGAAAAGGTTAAGTTCACCATACTAAAACTAAAATTGAAATAAAGTTCAACGTAAAAATGCCTTATGACATTAGTACAACCCGAAAAAATAAATTGTTCATGCAATTCAACAAAAAAAATTTGGTGTTCCAACTTTCAAGTCACTTCTTTGCATCGTTCAACTTGTTCCCTTTTCTTAGGGACACTTACTCTTCGAAGGTTTAGGAGGCTTTTAAGCTTATGAACAGGCTCGAGAAGGTGATGCTTAGGAACATCTTGGACCTTGTGAAGTGAAATCGATGGATGAGAAGCCTCAGTCCTTGTGAACTAGAAGCTTGAGATTACTTTGGAGCTTGTTGTTGTGGTTGTGGATTAAGATTAAGAGAATTGATACTTGAATTCGAATTGGCCAACTCTACACAATACAAAAACATAAACAATATAAATTACATAAGTATTTATAAATTTAAAAAAACCTACGAAGGTAACAAACAGATTGAAGAAAGAAAACAAAGAATTAAGACAGTTATTTTCCTTGAAAATTGAAATGATTTATTTGCCCAATTCAATACTTTCGTAGAACTCAATGTGGTCACGGTGCATCATCCTCCAAAGTAATAATGCTATCGTCCTTCAGCCAATTTTGCATGCATATAAAGGCCTCCACTAATTTAAGAGTTAAAGAGCTCCTAAAATCCGAAGTCACTCGACACGCAGTACTAAAAGCACTCTTCAATGCCGATCGAGACTTGAATTGCAAGAATGTCTTTTGCAATGGTGTCCAAGATAGGATATTGGGTATCATTCATCTTCCACCATAAGAGAATGTTAATATACTTTGTCCACTCCTATTTTGTATTTTGTACCAAACGATCCAACAAATAAGAGTCCACCTCATCTTCCATCACTTTTTTGTTTTGGCTAACCATCTTCCATCACTTTCTTGTCGCTATCTTCAACAAAATGAATATCGTTGATCACTTTCTCATCACTATCTTTAACAAAATGAATCCATTCATCAACAAGATCATCTTCTGCCGACATCACATGGGATGAGGTAGAAGCAGGTTGTGCTTGTGAAGGACCCGGTTTATTCATGTGTTTTTCACCTTCAATATTTGGGTATATGCATCATCAAGGGCATGCAGTAGATCTTTACATGCTGCTACATCTTTCCCCGATCAGCTACAAGGAAAGAAGGTCCATATTCTTTAACTTGTGTCCATCCCATGTACATTAATGAATTTTCTGGGTTCCTGAATGATCTTATTGCAAGAAGCTAGGAACGCCATATCATAGACTTGAATACCTTTTTTTAGTCTTTATTTGTCCCTCTAACAGCAAGACAGTCAGCATATTTTACTGCCTAAACCGTGTGAGAATTGAATCCTCCTTGAATGGCATTGATTTGTTGATTAATCATTCCCTCTCGTGAAGACAACTGGAATCTTGACAGCCTTGAAATTCATACAATTGATCTGTTTAAACCAATCCCATGTGATCCACTGACCACAATTATAATTTCAAATGCTGCTGTGAAATTTACCTCGTAGGTTTGACTTTGGAAACTAACAGTTAATTCAAATTTTCTCCGCTGTTGTGAAATTTACCTCGTAGGTTTGACTTTGGAAAATTACAGTTCATTCAATTTCACCTTGTAATTACGGAAGAAGGATACGTTGCTGTTCTTTTGAATTTTAGATTGGCGCCCACGAACATGATGATAATAGGCATATATATAGAGAAGAAAAATTGTTGAATATATTTTAGTGTTTAAGTACTAGCAAGAGTTTATGATCGTTCTAAAAATGAAATCTTTAAATCAAAGAACAAGAGTTGTTGAAATTGAGTATATCATTAATTTTGTGTAATTGATTTGAGGCCTTAAGATTTATACAAGTATATGTTTTTGATGTACAAAACCTAAAAACATAAACATCTAGTGATTTAGGATGTTGAGGAGGGAGACTCTTGTTTTGATCAATTGCCTAAATAGGCTCTCAAGTCCTTTTTCCTGATCTTGAATGCATAACTCCAACTTCTCAAGCTGGTTCTGCGCGTTCTCGGATTTGCTTGTCTTATGTAGTGTAGCATCGACTTGTGCAAATTCATTTGCCTCGGTTTCTTCCTCACATATAACCTTTTTGGTGGGAACCATCTTGGATACCAATGACCAGCTGCCTGGCTTTGACTTTGGCCCAGAGATGAAGGACAGAAGTGATTCAAACACAGCGAGAGTGATTGCTTCAACCTCTCTCAACCTGCTAATAATGGCGGCAGTCTCAGCATTGTTGCTAAGAGAAAAGAATGTGGATTTGCTTTCGATTCCCTTGAAATTCTTCATGGCCTTTTGGATTGCCTTTTTAACCATCTTTCTTGAGCTCAAGTATTTGTTAACCTCTCTTGTGAGAGCTCCAGATTCACCTCCTCGAGTTCGTCTTAAGATCGATTGAAGATCAAAGTCAACCGGTCAAAGTCAACGCTGACCGTAGACCCGGTCAACGGGTCCGGGTCCGGGTCTGGGTCAGGGTCAACGGGTCACGGGTTTGGGCTTTAGGGTTTTGGGTTTGGGTTAGGGTAAATGGGTTTAGGTTTTAGGTGAATTGGGTTTGGGCTTTAACCTCACGGCCCAATGGCCCAATTAAAAAGGGTTTTGGGCTTGGTTCACACGGCCCTAAGGCCTAATTAAAAAGGGGATATGGGTTTGGGCTGCAACCAAGGCCCTAAGGCCTTTGGGTTTGGTGGTCGCCGGATTCCAAGGAGGGGGAAGGCCGGATTTCGGCCGGAGAATTCCCAAGCTCCGTTGGAGCTCAAAACTCAACCAAAACATGTCATTCAATATACCAAAATGAAGCCCCGAAGGTAAGGAATCGAAATATACCCTTGGTTCCCGTCATCGTGGTCGGAGTTGGCCGGAAAACAGCCTGGAAGCCACGGGTGTCCGCCGGAAACTGGGTAAGATTCAAATGAGTATAACTTCTTCAATACGCAATGAAATTAGGTGAAACAAAAAGGAAAGTTGTAGTACTCAGCGAGACGAAGAGATTGATACCTCGCATGCCGGCCAACTCGCCGTGGTTTGGCCGGAAATCGCCTCGAAAGGGGCGGTGCTCGCCGGAAAACTGGGAAATGTCTCCCGAGGTGGTTTCTTCGTGGTTTGACGTCCCAAAACACATCCACGGGGTTAGAAAAGAGTTATAGGCGTGGGCATGGGTGTGTGTGTGTGTGTGTGTGTGGGTGTGTTCTTGTCGGACCGAGAGGGGGGGGAAAGGAGAGAGCATGGAGGAAGAAAGAGAGAAGAGAGAAGAGACTTTTCAAAAAAAAAAAAAAAAAAAAAAGAAAAGGGAAAGGGAAAGGAACCGGGGGACAAAAACAGGGGGTGGGCCCCTTGGGCTCACCAATTAAGGATCAAAAACAATTTTAAAAAGGAAGGTATCCCTCAAACTTAGTGAAAATACAAAAATACCCATTTTCTTACGAAAATCACGGGACGGGTCGTTACAGAAGGCAGCCTTCGGAAGGCCTCAATCTGCACAACTGCTCACAAAATATATTAAGAGACGAGAAGATGTTTTGTTGAGCGAAAGATGTTAGAGCGAGCATGGCAATTGGATTTTTTCTCAACCATATTTTTATCAAGAGAAAAAAAGGTTTTGCCGTTGAATGTACTAGTCCAGTGATTGACCTTCCTACGCGACACCTGCTTAATATATGTAAGAGGATGATGATTGACTATTCAAATATCATGTGGATAGTAGGAGACAAGAAGTATCTCTTCCTTATTATTTATCAAATGAAAGGTATTTGATCAAGAGGACTGGAACATGCATGGTACCTCAATAATGTACATGCCGTGTTCCCCCTACCTCCCAACTCTCCTACTCACCACCCAATTTTTGTATTGTAAAAAATCCATAAAATACACAGTGCACGAGTTGCATCGACTTTGTGTGTGATACAACAAATTGCAGTCATCATAGTTTCTCACCTTCTGTTTTCTTTGTATAATGAAATTTGGATGACGGATCTGAATGCCAACCTTATCTTCCATATCTTCTTCCTCATTGTCGTTAAAATGGATGACAAAGCACCTACCAGACCTTCAAATCAAGTTGTCCGGATGACAGCTCTTAATTCATGCAAGCTTGTTCTCTGGAATGCGTTGTAAGATATGTAGAAAATGAAAATAATTTCATTAAGAGTAAAAAGAAACAAAAAACCATGAAAATATGTATGCATGCATATCATATAAAACGACATAAAATCCCTGTTGGTAGGAAACGGAAGGTGGTGATTGATTTTGAAGGAGACAACTTACATAATTAATTAATTAATGCAGAATAGTTTCTGCGAAGAGTGATACACAGAACTCGTCGTCGGGCAGGCAGACAGGCAGAGCTGCAATGCTGGATAGAACTATTGACTTCATTTTATACATAGATGATGATACAGTACCACTCCTGAGCTACATATTTTAGGGATAGTTGTGTGACGCATCACATGATATTGCTGCCAAACTGAAGATACTCATCCGATATTAGAAGTAAAATTTATAGTTGATGGATCCAGATCGAATCATGTTTCTGCTCATTCAGCTGTGAGAGGATGAGTTGTTCTTGTCACCCTAACCATGTAAATATATAAACAGATGCCAAAGGGAAGGAAGCTGCAAACTGAAAGCACCAGTTAAGCATAAAATTTCAAAGTAAAATTCCTCTTTTTCATTAAAAGAAAATGGCAGTCTTCCATGCTTGCTCCACAGAATGCCTTCAACATCACAACCTTTTGTTACAGAATTTGATAAGCAGATATGCATGCGGATTAAAAGCTTCAGCACCATGCATCGTCCATATGCCACAAACTCAGTGGACTTCAAGATTTATACGATAGTGTTGAAAGTTTTCTTCTTTTGCCACTAACTAAACAAGCCTTGGCCGAAAAGTGCGGAGACAAATGGATCAATGAATTACTAGATGGATTCTTCAGGGTCCTGGATGTGTGTGGAATCATTAAGGATGCCGTCTTGCAAACAAAAGAATGCACACAGAAACTTCAATCAATTATGCGCAGAAGATGGGGAGATGGCAGGAGCTTCATGAGTGAGGTTAGAAAATACCTTAGCTCTAGGAAGGATGTCAAAGGCAATTAACAGCGCCTTAAAGGTCAAGGAAAGTCAAGACAAGAACTATGAGACTCCAGCTGCTGTCAGCTTGTTGAAAGGGCTAAACGCAGTCACCTTCACCGTGTTTGAATCCTTCTTGTCCTTTGTAGCTGGTTCAAAATGAAATTCAACTGGCCATTAGTTTCCAAGCTGCTGCAGCCCAAAAAGAGTAGCTTGTGAGGATGAGGTAGATACGAATGAACTTGAGAAGGTGGATGCTGCTTTGCATTCCCTTAGTAGTTCGAAGTCAAGCAAATCTGGTTACACCGTGCAAGTCGACAATGTTCAAAATTTGCTCCAAGAACTGGAGGCAAATATTCAAGATACTGAAAAAGGAATTGAGGGACTATTTAGGCGCTTAATCAAAACTTGAGTCTTGTTGAATTGTAATCTTGTCTTGGCCCAAAGATAATTGATCCGGCCCATACACAAAGAAAGATCCATGCACATGCTAGAGAATTCTAGCAAAGTTCAAGTTGGTGGAAGAGTCTAGAAGAATGGTGAGGATTCCACCAACATACAAGATTAGTGTAGATAATTCTAGCTTAGGAAGGTAGTAGAATTATCTAGATATCTCTAGCATAATGTTTTCATGCTTCTCCAAGGTTCCATCCATGCCTATAAAAGGAGAAGGCATCCACACCATTTGTAACAACCAAGAGAGAGCAAGTAGCAAGAAGTGAGAGTGTCAAGTAAGAAGTAAGAAGAAGCAACAAAGCTTCTAAGAGTGTTTGAGTGTTTCCTTTTGTACTAAGTTTGTGAGTGAATAAAAACCTTGTGTAATACTTTGAGAATTCTTTCTTTCTCTTGCCTATCAATTCCGCTGCGTTACATTTTTCTTTGTGAGATAAACCTCTCCAAGTAGTGAAGCATTTTTAAACCCCCAACAAAGTGGTATCAGAGCTATGGCTAGCAATGCTATGGCAGCCTTCCAAGTTCCAGTGCTCGACAGCAACAACTTCGATAATTGGAGTATCAAAATGAAGGCCCTTTTGGGTGCACACGATGTCTGGGAAGTCGTGGAGAAAGGCTACACTAAGCCAGAAGATGAAGCTACTCTGTCTCAACCCCAGAAGGAGAGTTTGAAAGATTCAAGAAAGAGAGACAAGAAGGCTTTCTACCTCATCTACCAAGCATTAGATGACAATGGCTTTGAGAAGGTCTCGAGTGCAACATCTGCCAAGCAAGCATGGGAGAAGCTTCAAACCTCTTACAAAGGAGCCGAACAAGTGAAAAAGGTTCATCTTCAAGTATTAAGAGGTGAGTTCGAATCTCTACAAATGAAAGGGTCTGAATCAATCTCTGATTATTTCTCAAGAGTCTTAGCCGTTTCCAATCAATTAAAAAGAAACGGAGAAAAGTTACAAGATGTTAGAATTATGGAGAAGATACTACGCTCGTTGGACCCCAAGTTCGAGCACATTGTCGTGATGATTGAAGAAACTAAAAACTTGGAAGAAATTAGTATAGAGCAATTAATGGGTTCGCTACAAGCATATGAAGAGAAACATAAGAAGAGGCAAGGGAATGATGAGCAGCTCCTTAAGACGCATGTTCAGTCAAAGAAGAAAGAAGAAAGCTTCGACAACGAGAGAAGCCGATACGGAAGAAGTCGTTGTCGAGGTCGCGGACATGGACATGGGCGTGGATGTGGTTGGAACTTAAACAACCATAGCAACTACGAAAGAGGAGAAAGCTCAACAAAAGGTCACGGAAGAGGACGCTCAAACTCAAGATATGAAAAATCTCAAGTTCAATGCTATAATTGTCAAAAGTTTGGGCATTATGCTTCGGAATGTAGAGCTCCAAACAGCAGACTTGATGAGAAGGTCAATTATGTGAAAGAAGAGAAAGAAGAGAATGGTGTTGTGCTACTAGCATGCAAGAACAATGATGGAGACCAAGACTATACATGGTACCTTGACACCGGCGCTAGGAACCACATGTGCGGAAGAAGAAGCATCTTCGTAGAGCTCAATGAATCAATGAGTGGCAACGTTTCTTTTGGAGATGAATCCAAAATACCCGTAAAAGGAAAAGGTAACATCCTTATTCCCCTGGAAAATGGGGGTCACCAATTAATTTCGAATGTCTACTACGTGCCCAATATGAAAAGCAACATTTTGAGTTTGGGTCAACTCTTAGAAAAAGGTTATGATTTTCATACGAAAAATTATATCCTTTTTCTTAGAGATGACAAAGGAAGATTAATTGCCAAGGCGAAAATGTCAAAGAATAGGATGTTTCCCATGAACATTCAAAACGATGTTGCAAAGTGTCTCAAGATATGTTACAAAGACATATCTTGGCTTTGGCATCTTCGTTTTGGGCATCTTAACTTTGGGGGACTGGAGTTATTATCCAAGAAGGAGATGGTGAGAGGCTTACCGTGTATCAGCCACCCTGATCAAGTTTGCGAAGGATGTTTACTTGGGAAACAGTTCAGGAAAAGCTTTCCAAAGGAGTCGACCACAAGAGCCCAAAAGCCACTCGAGCTCATTCACACCGATGTGTGCGGTCCAATAAAACCAAGCTCTTTGGGTAAAAATAATTATTTCCTTCTCTTCATTGATGATTTTTCAAGAAAAACCTGGGTGTATTTCTTGAAGCAGAAATCAGAAGTCTTTGGAGCATTCAAGAAGTTCAAAGCCGCTGTAGAAAAGGAGAATGGTTGCAAGATCAAAGCCATGAGATCTGATCGAGGAGGAGAATTCACTTCGAAGGAATTTCAAGAGTTTTGTGAAGCAAATGGAATTCGTCGACCTTTGACAGTTCCAAGATCCCCTCAACAAAATGGCGTGGCAGAAAGAAAAAATCGAACCATCCTCGACATGGCTCGAAGCATGCTCAAAAGCAAGAAATTACCTAAGGAATTGTGGGCAGAAGCTGTAGCATGTGCTGTCTACCTATCCAATCGGTCTCCAACAAGGAGTGTGTGGGGAAAAACTCCGCAAGAAGCATGGAGTGGAAGAAAACCAGGTATTTCTCATCTAAGAGTTTTTGGAAGCATAGCCCATGTACATGTATCAGACGAGAGGAGAACCAAACTCGACGACAAAAGTGAGAAGTTCATCTTTATCGGCTATGACACCAATTCAAAAGGCTATAAGCTGTATAATCCAAACAATGGGAAGACGGTGATCAGTCGAGACGTGATGTTCGATGAAGAAGGAGAATGGGATTTTAGCCCGCATGCAGGTGATCTTCACTTCTTTCCTCAATTTGAAGAAGAGAATGAACAAGGGATGATGGAGCAAGCAAGAGAGGTTCAACAAGAATCCACTACTCCACTTGCTTCACCAACATCAACCAATCATGGTAATTCATCAGCATCAGCATTGTCAAGTGTGAGTCTAAATGAAAGAGAAGTACCACGCACAAGAAGTATACGAGATCTTTATGAGGTAGCTGAAAGACTTGATAATCCTACACTTTTCTGTCTCTTTACTGATTGTGAACCAGTCGACTTCCAAGAAGCAGTGCAAGATACTAAGTGGAGGAAAGCAATGGATGAAGAAATTGAAGCAATCCAGAAGAATGATACATGGGAACTCGCTATTCTTCCGAAAGGACACAAAGCCATCGGAGTCAAGTGGGTGTACAAGACAAAGAAAAATGCTAATAGAAAGGTCGAAAGATACAAGGCAAGACTAGTGGCGAAAGGCTATAGTCAAAGAGCCGGAATCGACTATGATGAGGTATTCGCACCCGTTGCTCGGTTGGAAACTATACGATTACTAATTTCTTTGGCAGCTCAAAACAGTTGGAAGATTCAACAAATGGATGTGAAGTCCGCCTTCCTAAATGGAGTTCTTGAAGAAGAAGTCTACATTCAGCAACCGTCAGGCTATGAGATCAAAGGGCATGAAGACAAAGTTCTGAAGCTGAAGAAAGCCCTCTATGGGTTAAAACAAGCGCCACGAGCATGGAATAGTCGCATCGACAAGTACTTTCAAGAAAACAACTTCATCAAGTGCCCTCATGAACATGCTCTCTACGTCAAAGTCAAAGATGGAGATATTTTGATTGTGTGCTTATATGTGGATGATCTAATCTTCACCGGGAGTAATCCAAGCATGTTTGAAGAGTTCAAGAGAGTGATGACCAAAGAATTTGAGATGACCGACATCGGGTTGATGGCATATTACCTAGGCATTGAAGTCAAGCAGAACGAAGAAGGAATTTTCATCTCCCAAGAAAGCTACACAAAGGAGATACTGAAAAAGTTTAAAATGGACAACTACAAGCCCGTGAGCACGCCAATGGAGTGCGGAGTCAAACTAACCAAGTATGATAAAGGAGAAAGCGTAGATCCAACATTTTTCAAAAGTCTAGTTGGAAGCTTACGCTACTTGACTTGCACAAGACCAGATATTCTTTATGCTGTTGGATTAATCAGTCGCCACATGGAGAATCCCACAACTACACATTTGAAAACGGCCAAAAGAATTCTTCGATACCTCAAAGGTACTGTTAACTTTGGCTTGTTTTATTCAAGTTCTGATAACTACAAACTTGCTGGATATAGCGACAGTGATTGGGCAGGAGATTCCGACGATAGAAAAAACACTACTAGATTTGTGTTCTTCATGGGAGACACTGCATTCACATGGATGTCGAAGAAGCAACCGATTGTCACTCTCTCTACCTGCGAAGCTGAATATGTAGCTGCTACTTCATGTGTCTGCCATGCAATCTGGCTGAGAAACTTGCTGAAAGAATTAAGAATGCGACAAGAAGAGCCAACAAAGATCTATGTCGACAACAAGTCTGCAATAGGTCTAGCAAAGAATCCAGTATTCCATGACAAGAGCAAGCACATAGATACCCGTTATCATTTCTTAAGAGAGTGCATTGCAAGAAAGGATGTGCAAGTGGAATACGTGAAGTCTCAAGACCAAGTTGCCGACATATTCACCAAGCCACTCAAACAAGAAGACTTTGTCAGACTAAGAAACTCAATTGGCGTCACAAGACAAGATTAAGGGGGGATGTTGAATTGTAATCTTGTCTTGGCCCAAAGATAATTGATCCGGCCCATACACAAAGAAAGATCCATGCACATGCTAGAGAATTCTAGCAAAGTTCAAGTTGGTGGAAGAGTCTAGAAGAATGGTGAGGATTCCACCAACGTACAAGATTAGTGTAGATAATTCTAGCTTAGGAAGCTAGTAGAATTATCTAGATATCTCTAGCATAATGTTTTCATGCCTCTCCAAGGTTCCATCCATGCCTATAAAAGGAGAAGGCATCCACACCATTTGTAACAACCAAGAGAGAGCAAGTAGCAAGAAGTGAGAGTGTCAAGTAAGAAGTAAGAAGAAGCGACAAAGCTTCTAAGAGTGTTTGAGTGTTTCCTTTTGTATTAAGTTTGTGACTGAATAAAAACCTTGTGTAATACTTTGAGAATTCTTTCTTTCTCTTGCCTATCAATTCCGCTGTATTACATTTTTCTTTGTGAGATAAACCTCTCCAAGTAGTGAAGCATTTTTAAACCCCCAACAAGTCTCTCTTCTGAACATATTCAACAATTAGGCATGAAAATCATCATGCAGTATGATAGAAATACAATTTTGTAGAGATTAATCATACTTGTATATGAAAGAGATAATTGTGTACATATTTTCTCATCAAATCGAAAAGTACTATATTCCTTTGGCACGAAATATATCTGTTCTACTCCATTGATTTGTCCATGCTTTTTCTTATGCTAAATTCTTTCCATCTTTCTTAATTGTGCAAGACGGATGATAAACAGTGCAGATGAAGTAACTTAATGGAATGATCTTTCAAACGTTAAAAGACTTGGGGATGAATAAACCGATCCAATATTTTTCCCCTCTAAGACCAAGTTTTTCAAGCTACGCAAATTTTAGATAAAACCGGATTGGAAGTTCAAAACTTTAATCTATAGATATATCTATACGTTCTAATTTCCATAAAACATTTTTGGAAATTTCAGATTTGGAACATAATTTTTTGCTTCACCATTGAAATTTCCACTGCATTGGACATCTAAATTTCCAATACAACTTGAGCTTTGCTGCCGGTTTTATGCTTATCTAATTGTTCTCCGATACTTTCAGCCATATGTTCTGCATAAGTTTCATACCATTTGTCTGTCCAAAGAAATATGTACTTTATCATCATTTTATATACAAAAAGGGTTCTGACCTAATGATGATGCATACTCTGCACTTTTTATAGTCTTCGTTTTTTCCTCTACCAGGACCAGCGTACGTATGTTTGATATGATTAACTTTTTTACTACGGATCATCTTCCTTGAGACAATTGGAATTTTGACAGCCTCGAAGTTATATGATTTTCAATTTTTCACAAATCCCATGTGACTGCACTCATACAATTTTTATAGTTCTTGTCAAATTTCCTCTAAGCCTTTGGAAAAGTCGGTTAATGTTGGAAATTTTGAGTAGAAATTTCATTGTCTTACATTGGCCATTCCCAAAATGTTTCCTCACTTTATAATGTTTTATCCCTTATAAAAAGCAATTGGAGTGATAGGCTTCAGAGAATAAAATTGGGCTCACTCTTGGGGTTGGACTTTTTAGGGTGTACTAATTAATTGATAATTAATATATAATTAATTATCAAAAGATGGGCTCTTGGGCGTTGAAAATTAAATTCTTTAATTAATTAATTAATTAATTTTTTATCAACAGACTCATCTTTGAAGATGAAGTTTGTTGAGATGAAAGAACACAAAGCAAAGCACCCCTCTGTGAAAGATGACTTCCAACAGACGCACCCCATTCTCATACCTGTTGCGAACATGTATAAACCTATTATATATACATTCATCTGCATGACATTTAGCACATAGAAAATATCAAATTCTTCTTCTACATTCGTAAACCTTCTTACTAAGAGAATCACACAGAAATTCGCTAGAAGTTAAGTTTCTTGGTGCTGGAATTGTAACTTGGTCATTGAATCCTGGTGAAGCAGACGTTCGTAGAACTACAAGTACTGAGTAGGGATGAAATTTCTGTTTCAAGGACATTGCGGTACGCAAGCCTTAATCTTCAAGCTGTCTGTTTTATATTTTTGTTATGTTCATACTCTATTAATTTTTCTATTCACATTTATTATTTATTAGCATATATAATTTATCACAGATTGTTAACATATATCCAACAGTTAATTCATTTTTTCATCTTGTCATTGAGCAATAGTAAAGTTATTTTTTGGATTGATTTCGATTTGGCCTCTTAATATGATGATATTGGAACATTTATAAGATTAATGGTAGAACATTGTGAGCTTTGGAAAAAATACTATTGAAGTATAAAATAAAGAGCAGTAGAAATTTACACGAAAGTATATCATTGTGTATATTCTGAGAGAAGTTGTATACAAGTATGTTTTTCATGTACAAAATCAAAAGAACTAAACATCTAATGATTTAGGATGTTGAGGAGGGAGACTCTTGTTTTGATGAGTTGCCTAAATAGGCACTCTAGTCCTTCTTCCTGCTCTTGAATACACGACTCTAGCTTCTCAAGTAGGTTCTGCGCTTTATCGGCACTTTTGTGCAGTGCAGCATCAACTAGTGAAAATTCATTGGCTTCTGTTTCTTCGTTACAAGCCACTCTTTTCGACTGCATCATCTTTGAGACCAATGAGAAGCTACTTGGCTGTAACCTTGGCCCAGAAATGAAGGACAAAAGTGATTCAAAGACTGCGAGAGTGACTGCTTCAACGTCTCTCAACTTGCTAATAATGGCAACTGTCTTATTGTCGTTGTTGAGGGAAGAGAAAGCTGATCTATTTTTCATTCCCTTCAGATTTACCCTAGCCTTGTGGATTGCCTTCTTCACCATCTTCCTAGAGGCCATGTATTTCCTGACCTCACTTGTGAGTGCAGATTCACCTCCCCGCCTTCTTATGATCGACTGAAGATCCTGTATGCATTCCTTGGTTTGCGACAGGGAATCCTTGGCAGTGCCACAAACCTCCAAGAGTCTGATAGAGCCATCTAATAGCTCATTAGCATATTTGTCATTCTGCTCTTGGGACAAGGCCTGTTGAGAGAGGGGCAACTGAAGCAAATTCTCCGCACAATAATGCAAGTCTTGGAGGCCACTTAGCTTGTCGCTGATAGATGATGATGATGTGGAGGTGGCCTCAGAAGACCTCAATCTGCACAAGTGTTGATCGACTTTTTGAATGATCGGGTGTGGCCTTGAGGGGAAGCTGTTAGAGCGAGTGTGGAAAGCCATTTCTTCTTTATGATTTGAGAGGAGATAGAACAGAAGACCTTGAAAGTTTTGGTTAATGTACAATTGAGATTGATGAGTTCCTTTCTGTCTGCATCTGCTTAATATGTAGTGTTCGTTAAGGGAAGGGGACGTGAAAGCTCATTAACTTCAATCAGCAGTGAGTCGTAACATAATTTCGATTTGGATCTGTATGTTCCCTAGGCAATGTCTAAGAAATATCTCTTCCCGGACTAGCATACCAACTCACGATCACCGATTCATCTTTCATATCAAATCATTAATTGAACAGAAAACTATAAATTAAATATGTGCCATTGCACGATTAGCTTCGTAATGGTGTCTACAGATACGTGGAGAGGCAAAAACCATGCATCGTAGCCATCTGTCTAGTCGCAACAAACTCTATTTTTCTGATCGATGTATGTGATTAATTAGTTTATTCGTTTTATTTTCATAGTTGTTGCAGAAGGAGCAGGCAAGATCTGCAATGTAGCTGACCATGCATTGTTTTGCACACTGTAGAGAAATGGCATGTAGCTGACTTGATGAATTGGACTGTTCCCTAAACAGAACGAATTACCAGCACAATTATCCGAGTCTTCCATGTGTGTGCCATTAATCAATTACGCCCACGGATTTGTTAATTTTAATTCGTTTTGGTTCTGAAAACTTGTCTAGTGGTTAGAGTTTTCTTACAACTCTTTGAGTCAGTGAAATAAAATGCAAGGCTTCAGTAAATTTTACGAGATTACAAAAGCAGGTCAATATTAAATTGATTTGTGAAAATTACTTCATTTCAAGTAAATTGCGGAAAAAGAAGTTTCAATTGAGTATCTGAGAAAATATATTATACATGTATATCTCATTAATATACAAGTATGAACCAATAGAAATTTGGATGAATCATCCCGTACTAATCAAATTTTCTAATCTTGTGGTTGAGGATGTTGAGAACGGAAACTCTAATTTTGATCAAACGCATTGAAATGTGTTCCAGTAAATCTTCTAGATCTTGTATGTGTTAGTATTAAGTGTTTTAGCTGAAATAAATTTATTCATTTTACTTGTTTTAATCAGAGCCCTTGGATTACATTCCAAATGGATGCTCTAGATTAAGTTAGAGTAAGTGATGCTGAGTGACACATGTAACTATCTCACATGATAGATGAAATAAATGGTTGTGATCATTCTTTCTGTTGTAAGAGAGAGAGTGAGGTTATTCCTTCAGATAGGAATGGTCATATCCTAATTGCTTTGTAGAGAGAATCAAGGAAGGGAATGAAATCAGCTTTACACTCATCACTATGAATGCTCTCTGCACCTTTCAATTTCCCTTTCTTCCAGAAATTCACACAAACTCCATTGAATCACAACATAAAACCTATAATCTAACATGGCCTCGAAGCCAGGTTTCATCATTTGCAACTGCGCGTGAATCTGTGAAACTTGCAATGAAGAACTCGAACTGACCATCGAGCTTCGTTGCTGAAGGAAACCCAGAGAAGACATCTCAGTGACCTTGGATTAAGTCTCATATGGTTGGATCAAGTGGTGCTGATCTTCGAGCACCAGTGTTCAATGGAGACAACTTCGATTTCTGGCAGATTCGGATGAAGACCATATTCAGGTCTCACGAACTCTGGGATATCGTCAAGAAAGGCTTCGCTACTCCTGCGAAGAAGGAGGAAGAACTCACAGAAGATGAAAGCAAGCTATTGAGGGAAAGCATTGTCAAAGATGCAAAGGCACTTGGAATCATCCAAAGGGCGGTTTCCGATCAGATCTTCCTGAGAATCGCCATCCAAGAGACTGCTAATGCTGCTTGGAATGTCTTGAAGCAAGAATTTGTGGGAGATAGATAGGTAAGAGCTGTGAAACTCTAAGGCTTACGCCAAGATTTTGAATATACTAGAGTGGGTGAAAATAAAGCTTTCTCTGCCTGTCTAGTTAGGCTATTTGATGTCAAATGAGAAGTTATGGAAAGGATATTGGTAACCAAAGAATTATCCAAAAGTTGCTAATAAGCTTACCTAGATCATATGATAGTATTGCTTTTGTGATTGAAAATACTAAGGATCTAGCGACTGTTGATGTTCAAGATGTAGTAGTTATCCTGAAGGGGTATGAACAAAGGATTGATAGGCATGCTGAAAATCGAACTGAAAAAACATCTGCTATCTGCTAGTTTTAGTATTACTCCAAAGCAAAATAAGTATAATGGGAATCAAGGGTTCAAGCCACATAAGAATTGGAAGTCAAAATGGAAGAAAGGGGATATTAGACCTGCAAATCAAGCTAGAAAGGTTGTAGGTACCTCTGAGGGAGCTAAGAATCCTTGTATACACTGTGATAAGTTACATTTTGGTGAATGTTGGTTCAAAGATAAGTTTAGGTGTCACGATTGCAATAAGTTGGGGCATCTGGCAAAGGATTGTCGTGGCAAAAAAGAGAGGGTTAACCAACATGTAAACTTTGTTAATCAAGTCAATGTTACACCTACAATGTTTTATGTTTGCAATAATGCCAAAGTGAAGAAATGTGAAGATACACTGTATGTAGACAGTGGGTGTAGCAACCACATGACTGGAATGGAGGATCTGTTGGTTGACATTGATTGCTAAGGTTGAAATGGGCATTGGCCAGCTTATTGAGGTCACAGGCAAGGGAAATTTGGTAGTTGAAACCAAAATGGGGAAAAGGTATATTAAGGAAGTGATGTTAGTTCCAAATTTAAAAGAAAACTTACTCAATGTAGGGCAGATGATGGAACATGGTTACTTTCTAGTGTTTGGTGGAACAACTGCTGAAATATATGATGATAGCTCTATGTCTAATTTGGTAGCCAAAATACCAATCAAAGGAAACAGGAGTTTCCCCTTGAAACTTTAACTTGAGATGCAGATTGCTCTAAAAGCTAATGTGTGTCAGTCTTCTGCAATTTGGCATAGAAGGCTAGGACATTTGAATATAGGCAGTCTAAGGCAACTCAAAAAACAGGATATGGTGTTGGGATTGCTTGAACTCAAAATGGCAGATGAGATATGTGAAGGATGTGATATTGGGAAGCATTGCAGAGATGCATTTCTAAAGGAAGCATCATGGATGGCTTCTCTCCCTCTAGAACTCATTCACTCAGATATCTGTGGGCCTATGCAAACTACTACTAAGGCTGGAAATAGGTATTTCCTTACCTTTATAGATGACTACACTCGAATGTGTTGGATCTATTTCTTGAGAAACAAGTATGAGGTGTTTGGTATTTTCAAGAAATTTAAGGCCACGGTTGAATTACAAAGTGGTTACTAGTTGAAGAAGTTGAGAAGTGATAGAGGAGAAGAGTATACATCTGTTAAATTCAGAGAGTTTTATGAAGAAATAGGGATGCAAAGACAGTTAACAGTGGCCTACACACCACAACAGAATGATGTGGCTGAGAGGAAGAATATAACCATAGCGGAAATGGAAAAATGTATGATGGTTGAGAAGGGTGTTCAATTTGATTTCTGGGCAAAAGATGTCAACACAGCCGTGTACATATTGAACATATGTCCCACTAAGGCTCTTGATAATAATACCCCCTTTGAGGCATATAGTGGGTGGAAGCCAAGAATCAAACACTTGAAGATCTTTGGTTCTATATGTTATGCATATATTCCAAATCATCTTAGGCAAAAGCTAGATGAAACCAGTACTAAATGCATTTTCTTGGGGTATGGCACATGTGAGAAAGGTTATAGACTTTATGACCTCGTTTCAAAGAAGATAATTGTGTCAAGGGATGTGCTAGTTGATGAAAATGCTAGCTGGAATTGGAAATCTCAATCTAAAAATATCATCAATATACCAATGCTTGAAATGGAAATATGTGAACAAAGGGAAGAAGGAAGTTCAAGTGATAGATGTAATGTAAATGATGAATCTCTGATACCAGCATCTGAAACCTGTGAGTCAATTGAAAATGGCTCAAGGTTGGTTCCAATGCAGAATAACACAGATCCCTAAGACTATGATCACACTCCATTGAAGTTCAAAAGCTTGACAGAAGTGTATGCCAAATGCAATTTGTGCATAGTTAAGCCTGAGAACTTTGAGGAGGCAGCAAAAGATGAGTCATGGCAGAAGGCAATGGAGGAAAAAAATGCTATGATAGAGAAGAACTGCACTTGGGAACTTGTGGACAGACCATTTGATAAACCAGTAGTTGGTGTCAAGTGGATCTACAAGACAAAATTGAACCTAAATGGGTCTATACAGAAGAATAAGGCAAGGTTGGTTGCTAAGAGATACTCTCAGAAGCCTAAAGTCAATTTCAATGAGACATTTACTCCTGTGGCAAGGCTTGACACTATTAGAACTCTAATTGGGCTTGCTGCACATAAAGGATGGAGGCTATTCCAACTTGATGTGAAATCTGCATTCTTGAATAAGGTTCTAAATGAAGAAGTATATGTAGACTAGCCACTTGGTTTTGTAATTGAAGGCAATGAGGATAAGGTTTACAAGCTAAAGAAGGCCTTGTATAGGTTGAGACAGGCACCAGGGGACTGGTACAAATAGATTGACTCTTATTTTTTCTATTCTGGTTTTCATAGAAGTCCAAGTGAGGCAACCCTCTACATCAAAGCAACTGAGGCAGGAATTCTCATTGTTTCCTTGTATGTTGATGACATTATATACACAGGGAGTTCTAGTGCATTAATGGATGAGTTTAAGGCAAAAATGATGGGAAAGTATGAAATGTCAGACTTGGGACTATTGCACCATTTCTTGGGGCTTGGAGTCATTCAAACAGAAGGCTGTATCTTTCTGCATCAAAAGAAATATGCAAGAACTTTATTAGAGAAGTTAAGATTGAAGGATTGCAAACCTGTTGCAACTCCACTTGCAGCAAATGAAAAACTAAGCAAGATTGATGGGAGTGAAATGGCTGATGAAAGTCTTTATAAACAGATGGTTGGTAGCTTCCTGTACTTAACAGCTACAAGACCTGACATTATGTT